TTTTAAATTATTATTTATGTATCTACAGCTTAGGAAGTACTCGATTTTTTAAAGTGGCTCGAGCTAGGAGTCAAGAGGGTCTTATAGTTGTGAAAGTTTTTGTTATCCATGATCCAACACTACCACTTTCTTCTTACAAAGAAAAACTTGAAGAAATCCGGTCTAAATTAGCATCAGCTGTAAACTGTCTACCTTTTCAAAGAATGATCGTAAGTATTTTCATCTAACATTTATGTTACAAACTATATTATGTAATATTGTACAATTATAAATAAATGTATTTCATAAAAGCTCACAGAAAAATCTGGATCAATAATGAGGGAATATGTTAAATATTCCCTTTATGATAGAATTAGTACCAGGCCGTTTTTAACAAGTATTGAAAAAAAGTGGATCACCTTTCAAGTGCTATATGCCTTGCACCAAGCTCACAAGGTAGAGTAATATTCAATTTTCTTGTTGTTCCTGCCGTCACGAAAGTCCATACCAGTTTCGCACAGCTTGAAGGTAGTGAATGCGTAGATCTGAGTAGTGCCGAAAATATGGAAAGCATTAGAGAGAAAGAGAGAGATGTGGACAGCGACCGAAAATTGTCTTTGCACACTATGGACTCTCGTAATGACAGGTATAGAAATTAATAGTTAATTCTTAAAACACTACGTTGAAATGTTTTTTACATTATCAAACAATCAACATGTAACTCTGTAGTTCTAAGACCATAATAAACTCCATTAACACACTCCATTTACACTAAATAGATTAAAATATCAATATCATTTGACTATAGTTCGGAGTCTGCCATGGTGACATAAAATTAGAAAATATTATGATAACCAGTTGGAATTGGATATTGCTGACAGACTTTGCAAGTTTTAAGCCAACTTATTTACCTGAAGATAATCCTGCTGATTTTTCATATTTTTTTGACACATCTAGAAGAAGGTATAATTTAAAGACAATACATTCTATGGTAATCGGTTTTAAATTATTATATTAAGTTGTTTCTCCCCGCAAAACATTTTAGAACCTGTTATATAGCTCCAGAACGGTTTGTGAAAACGCTGTCCTCAGAATTAAGCAATACACTGTTACTATCAGAGCAAGAACTGAAAACAGGTGATCTACATCCAATGATGGACATCTTCTCTGCTGGATGTGCATTGACAGAATTGTATAATGAAGGGCATCCACCGTTTGACTTTTCTCAACTATTAGGTGCGTGTAATACACATGAAGATTATATATGAATTGTACATATAATATACTAAACTAACATTTAAAAACTATATGTTTACAATGTATTAAGCATATAGAAACAATGAATATTCAGTCAGCAAGCATTTGGATACGATAGAGGATTCAGGAATACGCGAATTGCTTGCATCCATGCTAGAAAGGAATCCAGCGAATAGAAAAAGTGCTGAAATTTATTTAGCCCAAGCTCGTGGAACAGTTTTCCCAGAATATTTTTACTTATTTCTGCAACCGTATATGCTTATATTCTCTGCTGCCCCTATTTTGTCACCAGATGAAAAAATAAATAGGCTTAAAAAAGATATTGGGAATATCACTAATATTTTGAAAACAGAGGAAAATGAAAAAATGAAAAGAAATATAAAAAGTACAGAAGTTTCGAAGAATAATGAGTCTGATAATAATGTAGAATCAGCTAAGGATGATTCCGGTCATAGTGAAGAAAACACGATTGTAGACGGTGACAGTGATCAAAGTTTTGATAAAAGTGACTTGAATCAAGTTGACCTCAAAACTCTTTCAATAGAAGATGCTAAGTGTGATAGTCAAACAGTTCAGCGGTCAGAGGCTGAACTACATGAGAGTCAGAAACAGAAAGTAGATTTAGAAAATGAAAAGACTTTATATCCAGAGCCTGTAGAAGGATTAGTTATTATTACTCAACTTGTTACTTCGTGTATACGAGGATTGCATCACTCTCAGTCAAAATTACAAAGTTTAGAAATATTACTCGAACTTGCTGAAAACACATCAGATGAGACAATATTGGATCGGATTTTGCCTTATATTGTAAGTATATAAATAATTAATAGCTTAAATAAATCTATCAGTTGACATAATTTATCTAATTCATTCTACAGTTTCATTTAGTTCACGATCCTGCCCCACGAGTTCGAGTATCAGCCATACACACTTTGACAAAATGTTTGCATCTTGTAAAATGTATACCACCATCGGACGTGAATATCTTCCCAGAATACATTCTGCCTGGCTTAGCACATATCACACAAGATGAAGCGGTTATCGTTAGAGCTGCGTATGCCGAAAATATCGCACATTTGGCACACATTGCATTGCGTTATTTAGAAAATGGTCACCTGTCAAATTTAGGTAACAAAGAAGGTCCAAAACCGAGTTACGATAGCGAGCTTCAAACGTTGCATGAAATGGTGATTAAAGTAAACTGTTTTTATAACTATGTGTGCATATATCATACATACTGAAATGTTTAATATTATTAGGTGCAGCAGTCTGTCTCCATGTTATTAACAGATCCTCAGAATTTGGTAAAACAAACGCTGATGGAAAGCGGAATAAATAAACTCTGTGTGTTTTTTGGAAAACAAAAGGCCAACGACATTTTACTTAGTCACGTTATTACTTTCTTAAATGACAAAGAAGATAAGGAATTGAGAGGGTCTTTTTTTGAATGCATCGTCGGTGTCGCTGCTTATGTCGGTTGGCATAGTAGTCCGATACTTATGCCTCTTCTTCAACAAGGACTAGCAGATCCCGAAGAATTTGTAACGACAAAGGCTATTAATGCAATGGCAACGCTCACAGAGTTAGGTCTTTTACACAAATCTGTCCTTTATCAACTTTTATATGAAACAATGATTTTTCTGGTAAGTTACGAAATAACGACGGTTTTTGGTATCATCAATATCAAATTAAAAATATCTCGCAGGTACATCCAAATTTATGGATAAGACACGCAACCGTCGGTTTTATATCCGCGGCTGCAAGAACGCTTAACTTGGTGGATGTCCAATGCAAAGTTCAGACAATGATTCAACCATATTTAAAACATCCACTAATTCAAATAGAGAAAGAGGTTCTATTGTTAGAAGCTTTGGTATCTCCAATACCAAGAATTGTTTACGATTCCATTGTAAAATACAACGATATAGAGGAATTATTTCAAATTCTTGAACAAAGACAAGCGGCCCGAGCTAAAGCTGTGACAGGAATCGTACCGCAATATAGCGAAATGAGTACTTCGCTCAGAAATGTGAGCTTGAACTTTAGTTCATTCGTCAAACATCTTTTATACTTCTTTAGATATCTAAACGAGATGTGTTTAGCTTTTCAGACGATTGAGTTCAGAATCGATGACTGAAATTATTGAAGATGAATTGTTGATAATGAAACCACACTTAATGAAAATTAATAAATATCGGAATTCGGTGGACGCGAAACAGAACACAAGCAAATCGGTGGATGGGAAATTAGAACTGAGTACTATGAAAGATAGAATACGACATCATATAGTGATATTGTATCCAGATACAAAAGCTGATTTAGGTCTTCCACCATTTAAGCGATTAGACCGTAGAACATCGGATAGTGTTGGCACGTACGCAACAATGAATCAAGAATGGCGTACAATGTTTGCAGCTCAGGACAATGTTCAAGTAATTAAAAATATATGAACTACAGGGTGTTTACCTTGAAGGTTGAAGTTTTGCAGAGTAATTATTAATTTTTTTCTGATAGCATTCCATTAAAATGTCGGATATGACAGGAAGTAGTGGAAGTCCTAGCCAGAGTTTACATGGAGGAGATATCCACTTGTCGCCACAACATAGTTTGTCTGATATGAACAGTATAAACGATCACTCTCTTCATGAACGCTCGTACATACAATGTATGTTATTGTTTTGTAATAATTTTGGACATCAGGATACTGTTATTGCAAAAGATAGAACTTAATGTAATTTTGTAGACAGATGTGCACCTTGCAGATTAGAAGTAAGGCAGTTGACGTACAGAAAGCAAGAACAACATGCTGCGGCTTTAAGAGCACAGCATTGGGCCGATAATATTGCGTGGCAAGCTGGTAATTAGTAATTATAATTAAACGATTCAGATGTAGGTTTAGAATTGCAAATATTTTTAATTTTCTGAAAAGGTTCGAGATTATTGCCCAACGGATGGAGACCGCGAGGAGTACCAGTTGCACATCTTCATGAGCATAGAGCTGCAGTGAACAGGCTGGTTTCTATACCAGACACTAGTTTATTCGCCAGTACTTCTGCAGATGGATGCATTAAAATATGGGATGCAAGTAAAATGGAAGGCCGAAATATTGCAAATCGTTCTAAGTATGTTCTCCAGATAATATGCTACTAGTCAGTATGTAATGCGCTCCTTTTAATTTCACTAGGCAAACTTATATACATAGAGGTGGTCCTTTGGTTGGCTTAGTTGTATGCGATCAGGGACAATCATTAGCAAGCTCTGCTAGCCAATCAGGCACAGTTTTCGTTTTACGAACTGAATCAAATTCTAGTAAAATGAGTGTTATTGCCACGAGACAATTAGACCTTCAGGTGACTACACATTATATGTATATACGTATATTTTATGATAAATCAATTTCACGAGTCTGAATTGTTGCATTTAGGAAGAAGGATGCGCAGTTGATTTGCAGTATCTGGATTCTGGTTCACAATCGGTTCTTGTGTATGCGTCGCTGTATGGTTCACTGGTTGGATGGGACTTAAGATGCCCCGGTACGGCATGGCGCTTAGAGAACGATCTTAAACACGGAGTGATTACTTCGTTTTGCGTAAACAATTATCAACAATGGTTGACACTTGGTACAAGTTCCGGTGTCCACACATGTTGGGACTTAAGATTTCAGTTACCAATAACTTGTATTAAACACCCAATAAGTAAGTGTACAATTGTTCTCGGTACTTAAAGTACGGTGTTTTGATTCATCACTGAATTTTCTAAAATACTTAGATGCGAGAGTGAGAAAGGTGATCACTCATCCTACAGAACATTCATGGATTATTTCGGCTGTGCAAGGAAACAACGAAATTTCAATGTGGAACCTCGAAACTGATTTCCGACAAATGGTACTTTGGGCGTCGAGCGCCCCTCCGCTTAGTCATTCGCAAGGTGGTCACAGTGTGTGTGCAATGTACTCCGGGTGTATCGACCGTTCAGGTTTTTTGTTAGCTGGTGGTACTGATATGAGATTACGTTTCTGGGACTTGAGTACACCTAATGAATCGTACGTTGCGTTGCCTGCTGCCAACGATGTCACTCCTCCAAATTCGTTAGCATACGAGTTAGTGTTTAGAACTCTAATTTATTCGCTCATATTCAAATTATCGTGTTACGAATATATCTATGATGTTTTACAGACAACGTTTGATAGACGGAACCAACGTAGTTGTGGAAGTTTTAGCTGGGGGTGGCCCCGCACCACCGTCCGGAGGTGGTAACGGCGTTAGAACACGAAACTCCGAAGAAGGAGGCCAAGGGCCCGAGACTCCACCATCTGGACACCACGATACAATTTCTGCTGTAGCCATGTCTAACACGTGTATTCTCACCGGCAGTACCGACGGACTGATACAAGTTTGGAAATGATTGTTTTCTCTCCAAAGTGTATTGCGTTCCAAACCTGTATACCTTGTGTACAAATTTTTCTACCGTTATCACAGATTTTATCCTGAGAGAAAAGAATTAAGACGATCATCGAGATTTCTTCGCGATCAGACTCATGTACTACAGCGATTCTGTGATTTCTATTTGTACATAATATGTAATATAAACGCCGTATATAAGATTATTGATAGTTATTATAATAATAATGATAATAATAATAATAATATATTAATGCATTTCTCCAACGGAACATAAAACAACTTACTTTAATACAGCGATCCTTATGTAATATAAATGATTTATTTTTCTACGTACAAAACGGAAACACAAGGAGCTTGTTGTACTATAATATACTAAGATGATTTTAAATATCAGATTTAGATACTATAATAGGAATGATAAATCGCGTGGGCATACTACAAAAGGATCGCGTATTGGCAGTATATTCTTAATGTACGGCGACAAAGAACGCATCATTAGCAAATTTGTTTCCTTAATACATAATTTATATACTGGCAGAGTATATGCGATTGTGTACTTTTATGTCATTAGTTCCATAGTAAACTTGTATGCCGACTGAAATACTCATAACCAGTGGATATATTTGTATTCCCCGATATTGTTACAATAAATTCATATTTTTAACGCACACACCGAACGAATTTATCCGGTCACCAGGGACAAACTGGTCCAGCGGGATATGGATTACTACCCGGAAATGCATAAGGATTAGGATTGATGGTTCGGCATATTTCTTTCCATCTTTCTTTCCCATCTTTCCCCTGCCGCCTTCTGTACTGCTGATTTTTATAACTTGATATTTCGTAATTCGGCTGACCGCCAAAAAGAATGTCGACCCAGGGTGCCGCAGACCCGGTGGCGATCAGCAATAAAAATAAAAATAAAATTTTCATTTCGCTTCTATTTTTCGATGATTCCGTTTCGAAAATTGGCAAGCGTCTGAAAGGAACACATGGTGAGCGAAAAAACAACAAATAAGAATGGAATCGATGATACGAACTTGCGCTCTAAAAAGATCAGATGACGAATGATTACCAGATTACCACATAGATATATATTTAGTCGTTTTGTTATTTTTACTTTCGAATTTCACACTTTCTGAACAAACTGATTAGCGACACTTCTCTTTCTTTTTAGCTTCTGTTTACTTGCTCGTGCGTAATTAACTGAACCGTCGAAATCTGTTTTAATTTATTTTTACACAGTGACTTATTCAACTGCTCACATTTTTTTTCCTTTTTTCAACCTTACGAAAGAGTTTATAGCTATACTCGCGGTATCAAGCACGCTCCCGCAATGAAGTGATGCTGGATGCTTACTCCTGTTTTATACACCGACACAGCTCCGGAAAAATTGATGTCGGTTAAGTTTATTAACGCGCAGATAATGTTAATTACTGATATCTTGCTATCAATTTAAACTAAGAAACATTGCTGCGAGATCTCATTTTTTTAACTAGACCAATTGGAATGTGTCCATGGTCTAAGAACGAGCAGTTTAAGTTTAAACCTTGAAGCTTCATTAATTTGCGACTGAAAGATTGCTTTTCCTATATTGTAATTGATAATATTTCTGATGATTAATCAAAATATCCAAATATTCGTGTATACGCTGAATAGAGAAAGATGCGTTTCATTGATCTTGGGGAAGGTCTTCCTTTCTTTGATACAAATCGAAGCATGCAATGCATTTTATTCACAACGCGTAATTTGAATTTTTATATTCCACGCGCGTATAGATTCTACCACAGGAAAAATCACGGTAATACAAAGAATACCTACGTAACAGATCTGTGTTAATAACTACTGTATTTGCTATCTTAATGTTCTTTGAACGAGATTTATTCATAATCATTTGTTCTTATGGTCTCCACGATAGTTTCATTGATTACACCGACTGACCTACATTTACAGTGATCTTATGTCAAGGTTGACACTTTTGACATACATATGATCAATGAAACAAATCTTAATACTTCTGTAACATTTTCAGTCTAAATCCATGAACAATAACTTTATTTTCAAAAATAAGAGTTTAATCGCATGCAACCGAGAACGGATCAAAATGGACATATCGATCTTCTCTGATAGATCGCGAGGTACCCTCGGCAGTGGACAGTACAATTTAAATCTTGCGTAATAGCTCTGATTACGGCTCACCAGGACTACTATTTCCTATTACCGTAATAGCAGTTGGTTTCCAGGCTGTCGAACTATTAATAGCGTTTGGCAGAGAAAGTCCGTTCGTATAGAGTTGAACACGAAAGGGTTCGCGATCTACGAATGGGTCGAGCGAGTCTTGTTTGACTTTCGTCATTGATTTTCGAATTTAGACCGAATGATAAGCAAATATGTGTCACGGTGAACTGGATCTAATTACGTCAATTCGATAACTCAATTACGTTCAACCATCGCTTTCAAGGGATGTAACTAGTATTTTACGCAATGCGTGTTCCGTCGTGCTTTCTTCTCGGCAACAAGAACGTTTGTTTTGCGGAAAATAATGAATGACTCATAAAATACGGATGTTGAGCAGAATAAAATATATTTTACGCGTGTTCGTCTATTAGTATTCTCCATGGTACACGCGCGTGGAAAGATGAATATGAAGTAGTTTCTATAATAAGACTTTCGGTAGAAGAATAAGATGCGGCTGGCAATATCTTATATGTATTTCCTTCTGGGAAATAAGTAATTCTTTGTTTAAAGAGGAAGAATCATGCCAAGTTTTCTTACGAATTTCTATGTAAGAAAAACCGATTTTTAAAATATCCTAAGAATACTACTTCGACCAAAGAGTACAGACAAAAACAAGTTCATTTTGTTAAATTAGATGTGTTAACACGGAATAGACAAAACAGTGCATCTCTATCAGGCTTGTAGCCATTGACTTGTAAATTGTCTAAATATTTTGAATAGCGGTTCCTTGGAGCTGCTTCTCGAAGTCAGCTGCACTGCTATGTGCGTCAGTTCTGTTTTACTTCTGAATCAGAAAGCTTCTGAACTTCAGTTTTCGGATTTACGATTGATCGAAGAATTCCTTTTCTTTCTTTGAATATCTGTTTTGCCAATATGGAATCGGTCAAAAATGGTAATTTCACAGAGAAATATCTATTTCTGTTTTAATAGAAACAGACTGTCTTTTTTCTCATTGCAAACAATTCGCTTTTTTATCTCAGACATTTTTGACGACCAAGATCATTACACAATAATATCCAATAATTTCGATTCCGATGAAATACAAAGAATTGGAAGTCGTGACAGTTTCTCGATGAAAATGCAACGAAGCTTAAAGAAAGTGAGGAGGAGCATCCAAAAAATAACTGGTATGTCATCGAAAAATTCAAGAAATAGCAAACATGATTAAATTATATTCTTGTCGATGCAAAATTGAAAATTGCAAAATTATTTGGTTTATCTCAGCAGAGTAACATTCTACGTTCAGTCCAATAAAAAAATCATCAGCCGTTTGAATAGAATAGAAAAATTATCGTACAAGAGTATTTTCAACAATTTTAGAAACTTCATCGACTGTTCAACCTCACTGCGTTTTCGTAGAAAGCTTGCAAGATGATGAGAAACAGCCGCCGTACATATTACCAGAGCGACTATCTTTCTTAATGTACCAAACGGGATTTTCGAAGGACGAGATAAGGAAATTATATCGCGCTTTCAAGCAACACTGCCCGAGAGGAGCCGTGACCACGAATGACTTAAAACCGGCTTACGCCAAATTATTCCCGTTAGGGGATCCGGCCAGGTACACGCAGATCGTCTTCAACATTTTCGACAAGGATGGGGATGGTATCGTGAGTTTTGCGGATCTCCTCATCGAAGCTGCTTCGATTATTAACGGTGATGTTGATCGAAAGCTTCAATGGATTTTCAGGTGACCATTCGATTAAATTACATTATCCGTTATCGTTTTTCACGCGATTTTCTCAATTTTTCTGTTCTGTTAGATTTTACGATTTGAACGGGGACGGTTATATCACGAGAAAAGAGATGTTGATCATAGTGTCGGCGATTTACGAGATGTTGAATAATGGACATATCATTCAGCGGATCATCGACAGACACGTGGACAAAGTTTTCGAAAAGATGGATGCTGATAAGGATGGTGTAATATCATTAGAAGAATTTATGAATAGTTGTAAAAATGTACGATAAAATATGTTACGTTCGTTCGTCGAGTTCGTGGAAGGTGACGTAAATCTTTTTATTTCAGGACAGCACGATCCAAAATCAGCTGGCGATATTTGATCATTTTTGGTGATAGAAGTTTCTTAGTCTTACTATTTTCAACAAGAAATGGAACTTAAACGATTTTCTATTTAATAAGTTCTGTTATTTCCGTAATAAAATATAATAATTATAACCATAAATAACAAATAACATTATAAATTATTAACAATTTAAATATACATCGGATACCATCCGTTCCATTATAAGAGATATAATCTTTGCATTTTTATGTACAGAATTTTGTACTTTTAAAACAGTCTCTTTTGTAAAACATAAAATACACAGGCAAGGAAAAATACAAATGCCAAAGCTACTAAGGCTTTATCAGTAACTTCTCTTCTACCATATTTACCTAAAAGCTTACCAGATTGCACTATAACTTGCTGTTGATGCTCCATTTCATCTTTAGTACCGGTAACTTTATCGGAAGAAGTCGCTAAAAATATTGAAAAATTAATGTAGTACGTTTTAGAACAACTAAAATATACTACGCAAAAATAGATACCTAACGTATCCAATGTGTCTGCACTTCTTTGAGTTGTTTCAGCTAAATGCCTGGATATACTTAAAAGTTTATCAGAAAGTTGACTTGATGTATTTGCTAGGCTTCTCTTGTCGTGCCTTCTACGCATAGCAGCTTGTTGTTCTTCAGGCATAGATAATAATTCCTCTTTTGCAAGCTTATCTATTACACATACACTAACAACATTTGCTTTTCTAAATGCAGCTAAAGAAGTATGAAGTTGCTGTTCATAAGTATCTATTTCTGTTAATAATTCTGCTTTCATTTTCTCTGATGGTTCTCTTTCTGCTACTGATGCTAGTTTATCAATGGATAATTTTAAAGCTGCTATTTTTCCTCTGCCTTCTGCATTTAATTCATTGAGCAATTCCAAAGGGCCAGTACATTGTTGAATATCCTGAAAAATTAATATTTATCAATGAGAAATCAAAGTAGGAAAAGGTATTTTATTTAATTGCACGTTATATCAAATTCGATGTGTTAATCAACTGTTCATAATTAATGCACAGAGAATTATTGTATTTAATACAAATCTTATTTGGCGATTTTTATACAAAGCTGCCAGAACTTAATGTTGCTTTGTAACTTAGGTTATGTTGCAATTAGTGTAAAAAGCTTTTGTTTTATACTTACTTGTATCAAAGCTGTAACTTGAAGATGATTTTTGATGATGTCCTGACGAATAAGCTCTATTTCATGGTGCTTAGTGTCCATCGGGAATCCGGACACGTATTATTCAATAATTATAACTAACTAAATACTTCTGCACAAATGGAATGTGATTTCAAGGCCGGCTTTGGACAAGTAGTTTGCGACAGTTTATCGTTTTCGCCGTTTTCGCAATAAGAAATGTATTAGATATGAAGCAATTTCGGCAGCATGCAAATTTTAGCGGTAATACGGCGGCATTTTCGCGTTTATTCAAATGAGCGTCAGGTATTACCAGAAAGGAAATGAGAATACGCGCTCGACGATACAAATGGTCATTGAGGTCACTTGAGGTCATCTGAGGACACTAAGGACTTCATATCTTTGTAAAAATCTGCAAAATAAACTGTAAAAGATATCTTTTCAATTGCAATACATGCAGTCTCTTCATTTCTTCCTATTAGCCTTTCATTTATTATTATTAACGTTGGAATATTAACAATATAAGACAAAATGCGAGGAGCACACTGCAAGGGATGTTGTATACAATCCAACAAAATATTATATATACAGTTTCCGAACGTAGTTTTCTCTGAGAATGTGAAAGAGAGTGAAATTTGAAGTTCTTTTCCCACTTTTCTTCTAATCGTCATTAACAAAGTTATTAACGAAAAAGTGACCAATGGTGTCTCAGTTTATTAATTAAATTCTTAATTCATTTCTGGTATCATCAATTTTGTTTAAAGCAAACGAATTGTCAATATTTTAAAGTCTAATCAGAAGATATAGAAGTATGTATAAACATAGACTAAAAAAAATGATAAAAAATAGTAGTTACGAAATGTATAAGAATGATAATGAGGTAGTGTTGTATAATTTATTAATGTACAATTCGAGTAGTACATTTAGTACGAGTAGTACATATTATCGTATAACTGGAATTGTTATAAATTCAGTTTCATTTTACAAACAGTATTAACAGTTGACACAAACCTTCTTCACCTATGTGTGAGCTTCTATTTTGAAATAATATTCAAGTTCGATTTAATTTTTGAAGCAGATAAATTAATTAATATCTGTACCAATACTACACTATTCAATTTACAATGATTATATTAAACATTGATGATATAGTATAGTATTAATCTATATGTGATTCTATGTTACATAAGTTTCACAGCCAAGATTGCATTTTAACGGAGAGAACTTATTACAGCAGTTGTAAATTCTGTTGTGGAACTTTGTCCACCTAAATCTTTTGTTAATACTTTTCCTTCGTTTAAAACGCGGTTTAATGCATCTTTAATTTGTTCAGCATAGCGATTTAAATTCACGTGGCGCAAGAGTTTGACAGCACACAGAAGCATGGCAGTAGGATTTGCAACGTTTTTACCAACAGCTTCTGAATATGTATGTCTTGCACCCTGAATAACAAAAATTGTATGAATTTCGATTTTGTAAAACACTAAATTATAATATATATTATACGGTTGATCTTACTGGTTCAAAGACGACACACTCAGGACTGAAACTGGCACCTGCGACCACACCAGCACCACCGACTAATCCAGATGCAAGGTTGTCCAAAATGTTACCATACAAATTGGGCAGTACCATTACATCAAATTGGTGTGGATTGGACACCATTTGCATCGTACAATTATCGACAATCATTGTTTCAAATGTAACTCTGAAATTATGTTAACACAATACATATAATAAACACAATACATATAATAAACACAATACATATTAATAGTATTCGAGGTAAAATATAATTTCAACATTTTACCTGGGGTATAACTTAGCAATTTCTTGGCATGATCTTAAGAAGAGGCCATCACCAAGTTTCATGATGTTGGCTTTGTGAACACAAGTGACTTTCTTGCGATTATGCTTCAATGCATAATCAAACGCAAACTTTGCAATCCTTTGACTCTTGGTTGCTGTTACTATTTTCAAACATTCCACCACACCCTTTACACATTCATGTTCCAGGGCAGAATATTCTCCTTCAGTTTGTTCTCTGATAATAATGCAATCTACATTTTTATGACGGCATTTAACACCAGGTAAAGACTTCACGTGAACAACATTCGAATACAGGTCTAGACTTTTACGTAATTTCATGTTTAGTGTTTGAAGTTCCCCAGTGTGGGAATGATCTGGTGTTGCTAAGATACCCTGTAGAACATTTATTCCAATTAAACGTATGATTTTATTTTTAGTTAGTTATACCTTGATTTCAATATGTAATAATAAAGATAACACTACCTTTAAGCATACTTTATTCCTGGCAATACTACTTGAAACTTGTTCAAGAGGTGCGCTCAAAGTTGGATTTACCTCTGATAGAAAATACGGTTCAAACTCAACTGGTACACTTGCAGCTTTGAAAACATTTTGAACCGAAACAACTAATTCTGGCCCTACTCCATCTCCTGGTATTAATGTACATTTCACCTTACCTTCTTGCTCAACTACCTAAAAGAAAAATCGAACTACTCACAGACATTGATCATCTTTATGGAATAAATTAAATACGTACACCTTCTTGAAAACGCACTACTCCAACATGCAGGGATCTCACAGCTCCTTTTTGAGCAGTCTGTAATGAAATTTCCAATTTATTGATTTATAAACAAGTTCAAATTAAGATAGAACTAAGTAATGGAAGAATAAAATTGTTTCTGTGTTACATATAATTAAGATATGAATATTACTTTAACAAGTTATATTTATAACGACAATACAGATGTAAACTAGTGATTGAATAACAATTGACCATCAAAGTCATTCATTTAATCAACTTCAATAACTGAATTTCGAAGATAGTGTTTGACAGTCATAATGTCATTTTTGAAATTTCATGTTAGATAAGAAAATTTCCACTTTTCTTCCAAAAATCTTATTTTATACGTCCTTGTGAGAGACGTTGGCAACTCACATTAATCAATCAAATGACAGAATGAAATTCTATGGTAGTTTCATTGGATTATAATCGAGAAAACTAAATAAATGTTCATGAAACAAATATTCTATATATGAATTTAAATACCTGTGAAAATACTTTGCAAACGTTCCTCGCGAGTAAAGCCATTTCACACGAATGGACCCTATCTATCTATAGGAGTATAGGTGTCATACTCAAATACTGGCACTGTCTATCTCATTCTCACATTTGTAACACTCGACCCCAAAGATCTTGGAGAGACTAACTTCACGTGAATAAATGTACATATACGTCAGTGTCAGTATTCAAATATTCTACATTAACGTGTTCATATTCGTATGTACGTACTACTACAATTAGAATTCACTAACACATACAGTATTATTAAGAATCTGAAGTTAGTTCCTTAAAAATTTTAGAATAGAATTGAGAATGGTACACCAGTAGTGTATCAATCATCGAAAAAATCAACGACGTTCCAAATCCAATTCTATTCAAGAACTATATACATTCTTTCTTAGTTTTGCTCTACAGAAGTAATATAAAATAAGCACAATTTA